ATTTGCAGTGGCGGATCCAGGGGAAGGGTGCAGGGGGTGCGCACCCCTCCCTGGTTCGACTTTGTGCCCCTATACTTCGAAGATAACCAATACAAAATAATGTTTGTTCCCTTTGATTTTAAGGGGTGCACCACTCCCTGGGTTAACTTTGTGCGCAGCACCCCTCCCTGAACAAATTCCTGGATCCGCCCCTGATTTGTATGATATCAATGATGTGACTAGTCCTTTTTATGTTCTTGATTGTAAAAATGATGTTTAATGAATTTAATGTCTTCTTTTAGGTTCACATTTCAAAGGACTCCCGAGTCGCCGATCACTGCATGGTATACGCCCTAGGTGACAGTAAGAATAACAATTTAGAGTCGACTTGCTCACATGTCCATGATGAATTCTGTCAGCAGTGCAAAGCAATACAAAGTGCCCTAGAAGAAACAAAGAAAGTCTTGAAGGAAATTGAGTTGTCAAATGATGAGCGTGATGATTTGATGTATCTGTATGGTCAAGCTACGCAAGCCATCCAGGCCTGGAAATGCCATCAGCTCAGAAGTATCAGGCAAGATATGAGTCGTACTTTTATCCTAGACACGAGCCTTGATGAAAACTCTATCTTTTTAACTCAAGACTGGGCGATGCAATTTCTTCCTCAACGATACAGGGAAACCCAGGCCGATTGGTATGGAAAACGAGGAATCTCGTGGCATATTAGCGTAGTTGTCACCAAAGTAGGAGGGATTATAAAACAACAAGCATTCATCCACATCGCCAAAAGCTGCTCCCAAGACAGTGTTTCTGTTGTGCGCATGCTTGATCCTACTCTAAGAACATTGAAAACTGAGCATCCTGAATTATCCAAAGTCTTTTTGCGCCAAGACAATGGTGCATGTTACCACAGCTCCCTCATGCTGTCCAGCTGCCAACAAATGAAAGCTCATACAGGAATAGGTGTTGCAAGAGTTGATTTTAGTGACCCGCAAGGCGGTAAAGGAGCGTGTGATAGGAAGGCGGCAATAATTAAAGCACACGTTCGAAGATACATTAATGAGGGCTGGGTCATGATGTTAACACGCCAGAAGAGTTCCGAGAGGCCATCCTTTCTAATGGCGGCATACGTGGTGTCAGGGTAGCGGTTATCGACGCGAAAGTTCCACCGGATATTGACGGTGTTGGCCCCAAATGGGATGGAGTGAGTTTCTTGAACAATTTCGAATATACAAAGAAGGGTATAACGGCATGGAGAGCATACGATATCGGAATAGGGAAGCAGATTTCAAGTAAAAAGTTTTGTGAAGGTAATGTAATAACCGTGATATC